GCAATTGACTGCTGAAAATCAGCAGTTACAATGGTCTAAATGCAAGCCATTTGCTTTTTTAAGGAAAAAGTATCTCATGTAATTCAAAGAAGAAAAATCAAATTATACAATATCATAGAAAGTCTTCAATTGAAAAATACAACTAACTATATAATTAAAATTAAGAAAAAGCCTGCTTACCTGAGAAAAGGTGAATTTATGTACAGAGTGACCAATTCCTTTTTCACAGTTTTTCATTGCAGGAGATTCTTTGGGTGCATGAAGAATTACTGTCTGGGAATCTTCAATAGTTATACAACCCTTAAAAACAAGAAAAGATGAACCAAAACATCCCACAGAATTGTTCAGGTAGAAGCCTACCTGGAGAGAGAAAGAGATCTATAAAAACTTGCAAAGTTTAGGGTGATAGTCTCTTGAGGTATGTAATAACTACGCAGATATTTGCTTCACATAAAAGCCAGAAAATAAATAAAATTAAGATAATTGCCTGGAGTCTTCTAAGAGGTTTAAATTTTTACTTGGATTCCTTCCAGCAATTTCTTTCTACTTCCACGACTCCTTCTTCTCACTCCCCAAATTCTCCTCTTCCACTTTCTCCAACTCCCTCCTTCTACCTTCTTTCTTCTCTTTTCCCTTTTCTCCTTTCCTCTCCCACTCTTCCTACTTTTTCTGCCTCTCTCCCTCTTCCCCCTCCATTCTTTTCTTCTTCCCCTTTCCCACTCTCTCCCTTCTCCTTTTCTTTCCTCTCTCTTCCCTACATCTCCTCCCTCCTCCTCTCATCTTTTTTCCCTCTTTTTTCTTTTCCCTTTCACTCTTCCCTCTCTTCTCCACCACATCTTTTCCTTTCCACCCATAACTCATCTTTTCCAAACCCTAGTATCTCACAATTGGAACTTTGTACATCTATGGAAACAAAGATATAAAGAAACATACCATTTTCCCCCCTTAAATAATTTCTAGTGTGAAACAAACTACAAATAGCATACATGAAGTAAATTTGATTGATAGATGATGTTATTAGTAGTGAAGGAACCTGAATTAGTTTCAGATCTGCTTTGATTGCATTTTCTCAGTTGAGTAAAGGCAAGATACAATTAGCCAGTGCTCACTTAACTAGATAAATATAAAATGCAATATTACAGGAAAATTGATTTTACACCCAACCATCAATATAGCTTGCCAGTGTTTTGACATATCAGCAGTAAGGATTATCAGTTGTAGCTAAACCTGGAATCTGTGTTCAGAGGTTGGCCAGAGTTGGCCATACATATAATACACATGTAGCACACACCTAGGCCATACTGCTTGCTTTTCCTAGGAGTCTCAATTAACAACTCAGTTTGTCAACTGGCTTAGCCATGCTAAGAAGCTTGGTACTGAATTCAGACCAGTTACTTACTGTACCAGGCTCTGACCTCCTATACTCTCTAACATCCTCTTCACATTGCCAGGATCAGGAACGCAGGCCAGACGTACTAAATCCCTTCATGAACTACAGAGGACTCCTACACCAGCAGCACATCCATCAGCTGCCTCCAGTAGAGTAGAAGCCCTAAAGTAGCTGGATCTGCAGAACTGAAATCCAGCTGGTACCACGCCACTCTCATCATTTTCCCCAGCCAGCCTCACAGCTTCTAAAATTTTTTCAGCATTTACTTTCTTTACTCACTGCATGTAAGAGCACACAAGTAGTTTCATTTATGGTCAAATATTCTGAATTTTCCCATTCCAAAAAAGAATTTTGTAAATCAGTGTAGTGCTATAGCCAGCTCAGATTGCTGAATGACGCCAGACTGGAAATACCATGGCAATGCATACTAGCCAAAAAAGTCCTACTGAAAACTTTCAACTCTAGAAGATTCAACACTAGAACACACACAACAATAAAATAAAATAAGACATCTTAAGAAGCAAAGAAGAACAAATTAAATCCTTTTTCAAACAGGTAGGGAACAAGAGGTCTACTGAAACCCATAGGGCCTTGCAAAAATCAGGACTGACAGATAAGATTGCAGAGACCTCATCCTCCAGGAACAGCTTAACAAATTATTTGCATCAGTGTTAAGGGGTGGAGAAAGAGCAATATTCCTGTGTGGTTGCACGTGGATGTGTAAAACACTGCAGCATCTAAGAATGACAGAATAAATTGTAGAAGTTACAGAAAAAGTTGTTGATGAGAAGAGCAGCGAGTCAAGCAGGACCAGCGATTTCAGGCATTGATTCAAGGGTGAAGTACCTACATTATTCCTAGAGATGTTTGATGGCTTTCTTTAAACTTCTTTGCTTTATGAGCCATGGGTAGATATAAGAGTGACTACTACTTTGAAATAACACCACTGGACTTTCACAGAGCTACATGTGTGCATGTCTGTACTGTGCACATTAGAAAAAATGGCAATAGTCATATTCACACAAGCACCCACTAATAGCATTTGAAATAACTACAGGACTCTTATAAAAAGTCCCAGCTTACAATAGTAGGTGTTCTCTGGCAGAGAATAAAAGCTTATTTCTTAACTCTACAACCAACCTGAGTTTCATGGTTTTCCAGTTCTGCTACAGAAAAGGGTCTCACTCTCAAGAAAACTTTCAGAGGTTGGTAGGCCTATTGACAAAAATAAAAAAGTGTTGTTACAGTGGCCACTTTTCAACAGAACACCCCCCAAACGATGTCATCATACACCTCTGATGCATTATTTGCTGTTCTTAACGCCTCCCTCTCTCCTTGTGAAGGTCAGAGCTGTCATTTGCTTCTTGACATCCTCATGTCCTAAATCTGTGCTTTTATGATGTGCGTTTATGAAGCACCATGGCTTTTAAAAGAGCACGCTACGGGAGGCGTGAACTGCACTGCTTCCACCTTCTGGTCTCCCTCAGTACTGAATTCAAGCTTTAGTTTCTAATTGCCGCCCCGTAGCTGCGCACTTCTACTTCGCAAGGAGCACGTCGAGCCACCAGGCTGACTCTCAAGAGCTCCCCAGCACCACGGGGCACCTTCCTCCCACTAAGAGCTGCGACGAGCTCTCGCTCCCCGCAGCGAGCCCTTCCACCCGTTCCTTTACACAGGAGATGCGCTACAAAACGGATCCGCCCCTCCCGCTCCTCTTCGCTAGACGACTGCTGACTCCTAGGTGAGGATTTACCCACCAGGTCCAGGAAGGAACCTGACTCCGACGCGTCGGATAGCTCCACAGAGACGCGGTTTTTCCCCTCGTCATCCATTGCTCTGCGCGAAGGCACTCGCAAGAAAAAAAAAGGCACACCGTTCTCTCACAGAGCAAGCGAAAGCACACAGAAACGAAAACAAAGAGCAGCTTCGCAAGAAAATAAGGTCCTCAAAGCAAGACAGCGCGACAGAAGCTTAAGAAACAAGCGGCACCCGGGCTGCGTTTAGATACCTCGCAGTGGGAGCACGCTAACTGCCCCAGCTGGCCATCGCCATCATCCACCGGCGCAGCCCGCGCCCACCTCCGTGCCGCCCCGCCCCGCCCTCAGCCTCCAACCGCCGCTACCTCGCCGCTCACGATCGTGCCGGACGCCCCCGCACGGGCGGCGCAGGGAGCATTTTGGGCGGGGGGAGAGCGGGCGCTGATTGGCCGATGGGAAGGGGGCTGGGCGGACGCAGCTCGGCGATGCTCCCTCCGGCCGGCAGGAGGCGCTGTCGCACAGCGTAAGACTTGAATCCACGCCGCCGCTGCTGGGCGGGATGTGGCGGGCTTTATTGGGACGAAGGGGGAGCTGGGGGCTGAGCGACAGAAGGGCGGGCTGCCGGAGGGAGGGTTGGGGGAGAGGTACGGCTGTGTAAATATTTCCATCGAAAGTTATACAGAGTTACTGTGGCTGCTGTGTAACTGTTGGATACCACGCGGTATGCTTGTGAGGCATTAAAAAAGCGATCAGGAAGGCAGGGTAGTCACAGCCCTCAGCTCCCTCGAAGAGCCCAGGGTCAGAAGGGCACTTGGGCTACGCAGGGAGATGATGGGTGAGAGCGAACAGCTGATGACGTGCAAAGGCCAACCAGCCTCACGTACGCCCCTGCTCTGTTGTCTGCACCAGCTCACCCCCTCCGGTCTGACTAGTGCCATCACAGTTCTTGCTGTGCTTCTCGAAGCACTCTAACACACACCTGATTTTAAAAGCAAGACTGAAAATATTTGTCAGGAAGCTCATTGTTCACATATTACTGAAAGCTTATCTTTAGATACTTCTTTTTTTCACCACTTTGAGTGCACAGCTATTCCTACCAGCTTCTCAACAGAAGCAGACGTAGCCATCCACAAATGCAACAAGGTTTGACGTGACAAGGTTTCCCACCTCTCCTACAGCTCTTCAGACTGTTCAGATAAATCTAGAGTGGCTCACCACAGAACCATAGCAGTTGGGAAGGACCTCTATAGAGGTCAAGTTCAATCCCTGCTAAAGCAGCTCCCTCAACAGCTGTGGGCAGCTTCTTTCAGTACTTTGTCATTCTCACAGGAAAGGGTTTCCTCATGTTGGTATAGAATTTCCCATAGACAGGTCCTTCTAAAGCTTGAATTTAATGTCACTGGGACAAGTGTGCAGATGAGGGACTCCTAAATCCCTTCTTGTTAAAGGTGGCACAAGATGGCTTCTTGGTGAAGGCAACAAAACATCAGGCTCCACACAAACATACACCCTTGTTTCTGCTTTTTTAACTGAAGTCAACTCTGTGCTTGGAGAAGCCAGAATGGCAACATCAACTTAAATGCACAAGAACTAATAGTAATCTTATTAACTCAGATAGCCCTGAGTAAGATTTTTCCATAAAGGATTCAAGTGCAACATGTTCATATAGTCACCAATCTCTAATCAAACTATGATGCCCAAGTTTCACCTTTTCATTTACAATTCATGTATTCCTCCTGAAAAATAACATCAGGAAAATGTGATCTTCCCAGATAGCATTCTGGTTATGCCCTTATTCAGGAAAATCAGAACTACCACAGACTCATGGCACAAATATAGAAACAGACAGCAAAGAAAGTTTGTCAGCCAGCTTTATTTGTAGTAGATGACTACGATTTAGGCATCAGCAATAGTAACTTCAACTTCTACGCCTGGCTCAATGCTGATGGAAGTGATCTGCTTCACAATCTCAGAAGGGCTGTGCAAGTCAATGAGTCGCTTATGGATACGCATTTGGAAACGATCCCAGGTCTTGGAGCCTTCACCACAAGGTGTCTTCCTGGTAGTGATTCGCAGAGTCTGAAGCAAAACCATAAACACAGAGTATCAAGCTGATGTACACAAGACGACCTTTTTACCTTCAGCATTTGTCACACAACAGTTATCAAAGCATCAAAGAACCCTCATATGGCTTTATCTGTTTATAGCATAACCCTCAATTTAGTAGTAGTTACTTTAAAGTAGTACTGCTTTATATCTCAACTTAAAAAAAAAAAAAACATTTTAGGTGCTTATTTACAGAAATACAACATGGTTTCAATTAAGTTTAAATACCTTGGTGGGCATGCGCACAGGTCCTTTCACTTTCAGGTTTTTCTCCTTAGCACCTCTGATCAAGTCAGCACAGACTGAAAACACAGAATGCTTTTAAGACTTGTGGATCTTTTGTTTGTTGTTTTAAACAAAGACTTTTAAAAGATATGTTGGCTCAGAATAGCGTATAAAATGATCACTGCAATTCAGGTTTAAAAGTTTATCCTCATAGCCAACTACATCAAAATAAAACTATTTACCCCACAGTAAGATAGCAAAAATCACAACAACAGAAAGTTATTACCATTTAACCCATAGCTGAGCCACAAGCAACCCAAAGATCAGGCAACAAGCACTGCTTCTACATTTACAATATGTGATTAAAATGCTGCTGACATCAGTTCCTAAATAAGATTTATTAATGCCTTACTCAACCCTGAACTTCTGACTGACCGCTTAATAACAAGCATGACAGAGTATCAATCAAGAAACCAATGCCTTTCAGTTCTCAGACATTCCAAGAGTAACATCTAAAATCCCCAGACAAACAGAAGGACAGAAGCTCTCTCTTACTGCTACTCTAGTTTAAAAAAAAAAAAGTGTCACTCACCTTTCTCAAGTGATTTTACATTGCGACTGGTCAAAGTAATTCTAATGCGATGAATTGCTACCTCTTGCTCCACAGGTGCCTTGCCAGTATCTTTAAATGCCTAAAATGTGAAAGTTAGATATCAAACACCATAATCAACACCGACTACTGAAAACAGGCTTGTGGAATGTAAAGAACAATTTGGCTTTGGGACTGTATTATTTGCATGACATGATCGGGCAGGTACAATGGCATGGTCCAAACAACAGGAACAAAGGATGATCACACGTGTGAGGAGCACTGTGAAGGGTAACTGCTCTGCAGGGTGGAAAGCTTCAAAAACACCTCTGCCTGATTTGCCTATGTATTAAGCAGCCTGTCCAGGCACTGATCATGCCTGATTCTCCTTCTTCCCTGCTAGTTTGCCCTGGTGAGACCACATCTGGAATACTCTGTCCAGCTCTGGGCTCTTCAGTTCAAGAAATGCAAGGCACTACTGGAGAGAGCCCAGTGGGAGGCTGCAAAGATAATTAGAAACCTGAAGCGCCTCCCTTATGAGGAAAGGCTCAGAGACCTCGGGCTGTTCATTCTGGGGAAGGCTGATAGGGAATCTCATCACTATTTATGAATATCTGAAGTGCAGCAACCAAATTGATGGGGGCTAGATGACTCTGTGATGGTATGCAGCAACAGAACAAGGTGCTATAGTCAAAAACTGGAACACAGGAAGTTTCATACAAACATGAGGGAGAACTTTGTTACCGTGAGAGTAATGAAGCACTAGAACAGGCTGCCCAGTAAGGTTGTGGAGCCTCCTTCTCTGGAGATACTCAAAACTCACCTGGACACTTCCCTGTGTGACCTACTTCAGGAAATTTGCTTTACAGCTTTGCCATGCTTATGTTCTTTACAGAGAGAGTGGTGAGGTGCTGGAACAGGCTGCCCAGAGAGGTTGTGGATGCCCCGTCCCTGGAGGTGTTCGAGGCCAGATTGGATGGGGCCCTGGGCAGCCTGGTCTAGTATTAAATGGGGAGGTTGTTGGCCCTGCCTGTGGCAGGAGAGTTGGAGATTCACGATCAAAAGGTCCCTTCCAACCCGGGCCATTCTGAATGATTACAGAGTGCCGGGCCAGATGGTCTCCAGAGATCTCTTCCAAGGCCTGTGTGACCCTGTGACTGTTCTTGTATCCAAACACCCATGGAATTGTACTACCCTAACAGCCCCTCCATAAATCCAATAGCAAGGATATCAGCTAAGTCTTTGCAACACTGAGCAAAGAGATGCATCTGGCCAGAAAGACTGACTGCACCACTTCAGGGGCTGGATCTGAAGACCTTCGCGCAATTAAACGTTTGGGAAAAAAACTGTATTAAAGCGGACAGACCGAACTGATAAAACAACGGGAAAGCACACAGTAAAGAAGCATTTTAAAACAAACGCCAGAAGCACGGCGTTTCTCCGACCGAGCAGCTAACACGTGCCCTATTAGCTGACCACGCTGCTCGCCTAAGAACCCACACGAAGGGCAGGCGCAGAGCCCGAGCTCACCCCACGGCGGCCGGATGCGCACGGCCGCCCCACAGCGCTCCGCGGGCACACGCGGCACCGCCCCGCCCCAGCGCCGCGCTCCGGGCCCAGACCCAGGCCGAGCGGGCGGCACGCGGCCGGCCGGACCCGGCGGCAACCGCGCGGCGCCGCCCCCCACCCGCTCTCCCCCCCCGGTCCGTCGCCCCCCCGCCTCACCATGGCGGCAGCGGGGCCTTCCTGGCCGACTTATTCCCGGGCGGGGCGCGACGCGAGGCCCAGCGAACAGCGGTGAGCCAGGAGGAGGCGGCGAGAGGAAGGCGCTGTGGCGGCCGGCGGCTTATATAAGGCGGGCGGCACCGCCTCCATCCGGGCGCCGCGGGACCTTTCACCTCGGGGCCGGCGCCCGGAAGTGGCGGCTGTGGGTGTGCGCCTCTGCCGTGCTCCGCGGCCGGTGGGGTGGGCGAGGGAGCGTTCGTAGCCCGTCCTGCAGTCTGTTTGGTGGTGCTGCCGGAGTTGCGATGCGGGAGTCCTGAGCAGCGTGAGGGAAGAACGCTGGTTTCGTTCATTCCTGGGCTTAGGGACTTGAATTCGTTTTGTTTGAGTCTCGGCGTTCCGCGCCTTCTCTTGAGAGCGCCCGTTGCTGTGGCCGCATACGGCAGCCAGCCACAAAGCGAGCGTTTTGCTGCTGCTGCCCGCACGGCTGTTCAGGCTCTTGTGTAATCGTTGTGGTTGTTGAAGAAAGACAGCTTGGCACCTTGACCCGAACTTATTTCACCTGGCACCCTGCCCTTATATGTATCTGTTTTCCCTGATCAAATATTTCACGGGTCTTCACGTGGCCTCAGTCTTCCGACTTAGATAACTTTTGTACGCCAGTGTTGCATTGTGATGGTCAGTTGTGGGCTTGTTGTGCAGTCACAGCACCTGCACTTGTGCTTCATAGTCTCACTTACTAATGTATCAGTTTTCAACTCGATGCTCCATTCTGATAAAGCAGCTTCAATAAATATGAGTACGGAAGCCATCATCCCATTACAGCTCCCTAGAGGGCTGCTGTGTCCTTTGCCAAGGGAGATCCCTAATCCAAAAATCTGCTCTGATAGCAGTCCTGTTTCTCTTCTTCCCTGCAGCAAAAGCAGCTTTTGTTTCTGGTCATTTGTATCCCGATCCCTTCAAAAATTATATTAACAATTTTGAGCTCAATTATGCATAAAGATAATATTAGAAACAAGAAATTGGTTACGATTTTTAATTTTGCTTTAGCCCCTGATGGATTACAAGAGGATCCTCAAAAGGTTTCTGTCCTCTGCTCCTTCTGACCTTCCTTGTGACCTTAGGAGGGGGTATGACTGTTTATGAGGCCAGGTAGTGATAGGATAAGGGGAAATGGTTTTAAACTAAGATAGGAGATTTAGGTTAGATATAAGGAGGAAGTTTTTCACTCAGAGGGTGGTGAAACACTGGAACAGGTTGCCTAGTGAGGTTGTGGATGCCCCTTCCATGGAGGCATTCAAAGCCAGGCTGGATGTGGCTCTGGGCAGCCTGGTCTGGTGGTTGGTGACCCTGCCCAATAGCATGGGGGTTGCAATTCGATGATCATTGTGGTCCTTTTCAACCCAGGCCATTCTATGATTCTATGAAAGACTCCACGTTTACTCCATTATCAGCTATTCCAATTTTCTGAGGAAGTTTTCCAGCCTACAAGTGTTCTATATTTGTCGTTAAGTGCATAACCACACACTGACCATGCTGAAACACTTAATTTTCCAGTAGTTCAAACAATTCTCAATCAGCTGTCTTGCTATGCTGTTTAATTGTAGCTTTGATGAATGTTAGTACTGAACTTTATTTCCTGATAAACTGAGAAAATGTTAAATAGCTCAGAGCCAAGAACTAATTCTAGTGGGATTCAATTAGAAAGACATCTGACCAATTCCTCACTGACGACGCAGACCTGTAAGCTTGGTTTTTATTTACTTGCAACATGCTATCTGTGTACAGTTATGCCACTTTTTTGCTGAATAAACTGAATAAATCCATGTACAGATAAGTTATACCAATGCTGTTCCTATTGCTCTAATGCTCTAATCACATGAGCAATACAGTCAATTTTAAATTTAATTTGAGCTGTATAATTTAAGTAAAACTGTGTCATTTCTTTTTGTTTCTATATCAAGGATTCTTTTTATTTAGTTTTGTTTTGTTTTTCCCCTGGGAGTACTGCAAGGTTGACAGTAAGTTCCTGATTTTATTCCTTTCTTATGCTTTTATATATATATATATATATTTGGCACAACCTCAGCTTTCTGTTAGACTTTTTTTCTTGAGCTTCCCCAGATTTCTCAAAGCTTATGGAAAATCCACATTAACAGCACACAAGTCTCCTTTGCCAGCTCTTAAAACTCTTGGATGCGAGCTATCTGGAGTTGCTGATTTAAAAAACGTCTTCCTTTAGTTCCTATGTTTAAGGCTTTCCTTAGTTATTGTTAGAAGTTTGTGATATTTGCTGTTTCTCTCCAAAAAAAAACAACACCCCCCCCCCAAAAAAAAAAAAAACAAAAAAAAAACACGTAGGACAGCAATTTATATAAAGTTTATGCTTTCTCTGAAATACATAATTTAAGAAAAGAATAAAAATTATTCCTTCCTGCTCTTCACACAGGTAAATAAATATCCATTATCAAAATAACTTTTTGCTTACCTTCTGAATATTCTGCAGTTCTTCGCTCCTAATTCACGTATTGTACTATGCCTATTTCTCTTATAGTAAAACCCATTAAGTTCAAGTTATGCTTCCAAATTAATAATTCAGTTACTCCTGTTAATTAACTATGTATGTGCTGGGGGTAGGTTTCTTGCTACCATTTGTGGTCCTCTGCTTAATTTTAGCTTGAACATCTCTTTATCTGTGATGAATAGGTCATCCTATTTTTTAGCTGATTGTTGCCATTGAATTTAATCTTGCCAGGTTTTGCCTGGGAAGATTTTCCAGGTGACTGGCTCTAAATCATAGACTTTTATCCAAAAAAAAAAAGATGTCCCAGTATTCTACAAATCTAAATCCCTTTAGTCTAGACATCAGCTGACCTTCTGTCTTCCTTTGCTCATGTGACAGAAAGAAGACCTCCTGTATGTCCCACCCAGAGCCAGAGTGGTCATAGCTCTAGTGTACATCTACCTACATGACTGAACAAGCAGCACATGCTGGCTCTCAGCACCCTCTGAAGGACTACAGCGACTGTTCTTGAAGCAAAGGTTTGTGCTGCCTTCTGAAGTCTGAAGTTCTGCTGCCATCTCTGAAGTCTGACTGCACTTTTGGGTGGTTCAAAGGACAGACTTACTCTGCAGGTTCTGCAGATCGGCTTGTTAACACAGTTGCTCCTTTGGGTTAAATTTATTCTAATTTCATGCCCTTTTTGACAGTGTGCACAGTAGCTTTCTTAGATTTCCGGTGTTGTATTTCATAGTGATGATATGATGCTGGCAGCTCACTGGAAGCAGGGCCTGGATTACACCCACCTAACCCTGTAGTCTTTACTTTCAATGATGACAAACAAATTGCCAAAATATAGTCCTATTTACTTTCAAAATCATAGAATCATAGAGAATCATAGAATGGTTCTGGTTGGAAGGGACCTTTAAGATCATCTAGTTCCAACCCCCTGCTAAAGGCAGGGACACCAGGGACACCTCCCTCTAAACCAGGTTGCTCAAAGCCCCATCCAGTCTGGCCTTGAATGCTTCCAGGGAGGGGGTATCCACAACTTCACTTGGCAACCTGTTCCAGTGTCTTGCCACTCTCACAGTAAAGAATTAATATCTAGTCTAAACCTATCCTCTTCCAGTTTAAAACTATTTCTCCTTGTTCTGTTGCTACATACCCTCATTAAAAGACTCTCCCCAGCTTTCTCGTAGGCCTCCTTCATGTGCTGGAAAGTCTGTAAGGTCCTCCCAGAGCCTTCTCTAGGTTGAAGAGCCCCAACTCTCTCAGCCTGTCCTCAGAGGGGAGGTGCTCCAGCCCTCGGGTCACCTCCTCTGGATCTGCTCCAACATCTCATATCAACACTTCATGTTTCATGTTCCTGTATGCATGATCCGTTTTCTCCTTTCCCCATCTTCCAGCTCATGGGGCTAGAAAGTCTTTCATTCTCACCTAGACTGACTATTTTTAGGAGAGGCTGTACTCACCAGTTTAGAACAAAGGCAATACCAAAAGCTAACTCTTCTGTGAGGTCATTTCTAACATCAAATCAGTTCTAATATCTAGTTGTCCATACATTTTACTATACCATCACAGCATGTTGGACTGACTTCCTTCTCCAAGCTCTTTGAAAACTGAACAAACTCTTGGAGATTTTGTTTGGACTTCTGATCATAAAATACCTGTGAAACAGGATTGTACTTGAGGCTTCTCAGGAAATCATCAGTATGTAGTGCAGCAATCCAGTGAAAGCATTTTCCAAGGGTTTTAGGAAAGCCTTCAGCACCTGCTTGGTTTTACTTGCAAATATCTGTAGATCCTCTTGTCTTGACTTGAAGTTATTTAATTGTATCTTATCTGCAAAGTCTATGGGTTCTTTACTTGGCTGTTAGGTAGATCCTATTAATATCCCCCTGTAGACTGAATATCTATGTTTGCAGTGCCCACTGCTGCCTCAGCTATTGAAACTCTTTCAGAAAACCTGCCAGAACTGAAAGCAGCCTCGCTTTCTAAAGACTGATGTGTGCAGATGGGTAGCTACATGCTTCAGCACTAGCCCAGAGCTGGAATTCTACATCATACCTAGCCTATCCCTTTTAAATTTTTGGGTCACTTCTGATATAGAGCTTGCCATAAAAATGTAACCGGTATTGGGCACTCTTTTCTTTAATTTCTTATTTGAGGAGAATATGAACTAGATCCATGACTTGGAAAAAAGAGCAGTTGTGCTTGATTGAGTCCTTTTCAGGTGATAAATGTTGCCACAAATAATGATGATAATGGGACTTTCAAATGGGCAGTGTGAGATTCATAACTATCGCAAGCTCTTACCTTGCAGATAAGTATGTTACTACTGATAAAGATTGTTGTTGGCTTCCAATATCATTAACCTGATTTCCCTAAGGCTTCTCTGTCAACCTGGGTTGCCTTATTCTTTGGATACAAATTATAGCAGTAGAAATGTTTAAAAGCTAATATACTTAGCGTTTCTGGTGAAGCTGAATATGTGGTACATCAGCACAACGTATCTTTGAACATTCAGGATGGAAATAAGACAGCAACAAGTTTCTAAGTGCTAGTTGGAGACTCAGGCCTGCATAACTGTGCAGTCAGCCCATGTGCTG